CTTTTTTGGCGGCATTACGAATGAATGAATATTTTTTATTATTATTGAGAATGGAATTTGATTGGCTCAAGCCGGCTAAGCCGTTTAAAAATTTCTTAGCCGGCTGAGCCGTGTAAGCCGGCTAAGCCGGCTAAGCCGATAAATTTCTTAGCCGGCTAACATCACTATCCAGTAATCGCTTACTTTTTATTGCCATGTATTGTAAAGCTACGTTGCACAATATAAAAAATTAGTGTAACATTTCAAATTTTCACTATGCTTAATAATAATATAATAACAACCATAAACCATTCAAATTACAATAACTGTGCTAGCAACTTCCACCTCTTTTTTTACATCTAGTAGTAAGTTTGAGAGATAATACTGCTTAAGATAAGAAGAATTAGTTTTAAAAAAATGTCAGATCTGCAAAATATCACAGAAAAATTTAAAGAACATTTACTCTGCACAAAAAAGTTTAATTGTGGACAACCATAGAAACTTTTATCACATTTGGCGAATCATTATACTCATGAAATTAGAAGAGTATGTTTAAGACAAATAAACAATGATAGAACCTTTATGAAAGCACATTGTTAACAAAAGAATGCAATGATTCTGTTAACTGTGCATTAATCAAAACATTTGTTCGCTGTGGAATTTCTTTTTCAGTTGTAGTAATACATACTTTATAGATCTTCTTCAACAACTCTGTCTGTGTATCAACCACCATCTAGGAGTGTTTTATCTGGAAAATTTCTTGATACAGAAATATCTAATGTTTCTAAATGGAAGTGCAAGTTTACAGATTGAAAATAATGACAATTTTGAAAACAGAGTCAATCATTACTTAGAAAATGAAGATTGTAATTTAGAAGATGGGAATAATGATGAGGAGACCAAAGATGATGTTAACACAAATAATGATAATTGCAATTTAAACAATATATCAAAAAAGAAAGAAAAGTCAAAGCTTATATAAAGCAACACAGTTATGTAGAAAAAATGTTGATAATGTAATTGTAAAAAATAAAAGACAGAAATCTAAATAATTGTTAGTTGATAACAATCCAATCATACCCAAAACTATTCGCTAGTAAATACCCACACTATTCAATTTTATCCTCATAAATTATTTTTATTATTATTATTGTCATCAATTAAATTCGCCCCCAAAAATTAATTAGGGCTGGAAATAGCACTTTTAAAATCCTTTAAAATTTTTAACCTCTAGAAAAAAAGGTCGACGAATATTTTCTGAATTTTCAATTGCATGCCCAAATGGACTTCAGAGAAGAAAGGATGGTTTGAGCAGCAAATAGTTGGTAACGAAAAAAAAACTCAAAAAAGTCATCATCATTGTCAAACAAAAGAAACAAAAGACCACAATCAAGAAGAAGCAACAAACAAGAAAACATGCTCTAATGATGGATCAAGAGCAATATCAGAAAAATTAATTAGTATGGTGAACAAAATGAATAACTAGGCTTTAGAATAATTATTAAAATTCCATATTAAAAATTTTTTTATTTATAATTGTTAGTCTAATGAAATTTTATATACAAATATTCTGGAAATCTAGAAATATGAAACTTTATATGCAGTACCTCCAGAACATATGTCACAAGTTGATATAATTTTTTGTACAGTTATTATGTACGTTTTTGCGTAAATGATGGTATTTAGGGTGACCGAAACTTTTGCTAATACTAAGGTACTGTATAATTATTCCATCTAACCAAATTTTTTAATAATATTACCACTTCAATTTGTTCAAATAACGATTTGGTCAGCTTCAAAATTACTAAAATAACAAAAATTTTATATCATTTAAAAAAGTTTACCAATATGTTTTGTTTTCCATGACTTGATCTTTAAACTTATCGGCTAGCTTGCTTAAACAAAAAATTGGCAGAGAATTTGCATTTTTGAAAATTCAAAATTATTATATATACACTTTAAAAATTGAGACCATGTAATGGAAATTTTTTTCATCGAAATAAGAGTTTTTATTGTGAAGTGGGTAAAGGTATAAAGTGAAGGGCAATTTATTATTAATAATATTCAAAATCTATCTCCACACATTAATATGCTTGTACTTTCTACATACGAAAGAATATTTTGAACAATCGAATCATTGAAATTATTTTGATTTTTTAATTTTGCAAATCTCGTGTGTTAGCCTTTCTCTATTTCCGGATAAATACTACTTGCTATTAATCAGTACTTTCTGGTTGTAAAGCTCCTCCGTATATTCCATTATCAATGGACAAAGTTGACAGAATAATCTGGGTTGAAATCATTGATACATATTTTTCACGACATATGATCACACGAGGTAATTTAACTTTACATATTAGTAAGAAAAAAATAAGAATAATAAACATTAAATCTGTGAGAAACCTACCATAAACCTTACGCAATATTTGCAATATCAGAATTGTAATAAATATGAGCATGTATTTAATAGGGAACGTATTTAATTATGATAAATTGGAATACTTGATTAAAGTTAGGCAGAAAAACTTTTCGAACTTGATCGATATTTTCATAAAAGACTTTATTAATACGACTACAATATATATATAATATATGCTAAAAAAGGCATTTATATTACGGTTAAACTACTTTCTGACATAACACCAATTTCGATCTTAAAATGCTAATTTTTCAAGCGCGCCCAGAATTGTTCTTGCCTCTTTCTTTATTTTTTTGTAGTCATATTAATAGCCATTGCCTGGCCCCATTTCATCTCTCCCATGATCGGATGATAATGGATGTATATTTCAGCTAGTCCAAAAAAAATCTGCAATTTGGTTATATACTTCATCGTTACATCTATCTCCATCATACAAGAAACTTTTCAAATATAGTCCAAGCAAATCATCTCTTACTGATTCAAAATCGGCAATTTTCCCTAGTATGTTACCATATACTGCAAATACAAGTCCACGTAATTTGAATGGAGGTTTTGTTGTATATCTATATTGATTATCACTTAATTTCCATCCAGACTGTAGTTGATAATCTTTGTCTCCTTCACGGTAAATTATAAGACATTGATGAGATGCAGGATCAAATATGAGATATTAATATGCATTGTGATCCCTGAATATTCCATTATAAACATTGCCGAAGTTACTGCAAATAAATTCTTGAAATGTCATTAGAAGTTCCTCCTGATTTTGCCTATTCCAATAATCATTTTCACCAAATCCCCAATCTTCTTTGTATCTATCAAATATATTCCTCAATCCTTTATATACATATTTCACAAGAGAGATATCAAAGTATGAATATGCGAATATAGGATTGTGCACGTCGAAATATATGTGTTTAATCTTATTTGATTCCCTCCAGAAATAGTTCCTATCCACTAACTGCCATTGTATAGATATCGACCATCAGTAAAAAGCTGAAACGATTGCTACATATTGTTACTTGGGTAAAACCAGTGACATTTAACCTAAAGAAAAAAAAATCAATTTTAAATCCTTCTTACCATTCGTTATTCGCAACTCACGTTATGCAAAAAACAATTGAAACTAATTTAAATTTCATGTATATGAAAATGATTATAATTATTAAAACATTATTTATCCATTCATAAATATTAATTTATTTTCTTTGATATTAATTTAGTTAAAGGAGACTTCATAAATTATAATAGTACAAATTCATTTAGATGGAATAAACCAATTATTTTTATTTTTTTTTAAATTCCTATGTATAGATTACATATTAATATTATAATTACAACTTTGAGTATAAAATCGAACCGGATAACTGTAGCTTTAAATAATACAAAAAGGCTTATAGAAAATAAAATAACAAAATACTATATTAGGAAGGTGGGTTTTAAAAATAGGGAACAAAACATTTTGTACGCACCTTTGTTTTTTAGATGGGAGGAAAACCTTTATTTAACAGCCAAATATGGTCTAATTAAACGTTTATATGTATTGTTTTTTAAAAAAAAACCAAAAAACTGACTTTGCAGCAAATATTTTTAAGATTGTTAATAAAAGGACAGATTTTTGATAAATTATACATCTTAACTATTGTTAAAAAGATATAGCTCACATTTCTCCACAAACGTCTTTTATGTCAATTATACAATATACAAATTTGCTCATTATATTACCAAAAAAATGGTGCAATCGAAGTTTTTTCAATCACTTTTTCCTATGAAACAGTTTATTATAATCTTTTTTTTAATAATTTTTTCGATGATGATAACAAAGGTGGTGGCTGTGCCAATCTCGACAGATGACAATACTGATGTCGTTTTCGATTATATGATATCAATAGTTCTTTTGCTTCTCGCTTATTTCAGCATTAAAGAGCCAAACATTCATGAAATGCGGGCTCATCTATTCCTCGCTTTTGGTTTTCTTTTCTCAAAAGTCTGCTTGTTTATCTGGTTTTGTATAAAAAAATATTACGATACCGACGACTTTTTATTCATCGTGTATCTCACGGTAACAATAACAATGGGGTTTATTACTTTTATTTACACAAGTTTTACAATCTACCTATCACTTTACAGCATTAGAATTGATGGGTTCCGGGAAAAAATAAGCCACTATTTACTCAAAATTGGTAGATTACAATTTTTGATGAGCCTTTTACAAGTTGTTCTTTATAATGTATCACATTTTATATTTTTTTGGATATATGCTTCTCGTGGTTACTATGAATCTTACAAGTACTTGTTCGTTTTTATACCGACTGTATTAATGTTTCTTTGTGCCACCGGAAAATGCCTTCACGTTATTAAAAGTAGCAAAGTACAAAAAAAAGATAAAACAAATGAAACAATTGAAGCAATTGAAACAATGAAAAAAAATGCAATAAAATATATCATAAGCAGACAGTTCTATCAGTCACTAATGTTGCTTATATTTGTGGGTGATATAATTGCAATGCTATTGTTAAATCTTGATCCTATCTGGACAAAAGTTTATTTGACCACAAGTGCTATATCATTTGTACTAGGAGGAATTGCCATCAATGCTGGAGAGAAAAAGGTGGAAGAAGATACAATGAAGGAAAAAAATTCAATTAAGGAAGAAAAAAGGGTTGGGATGAAAGATTAGAAAAAAAAATTATAGATTGAGAGCTAATTTAGATAAATAGAAAAATTAAATCATTTAGCTTATTTTTTTAAAACATTTATTTTGTTTATCTTCCTTTTGTTATTAGTTTACATTAAAAATAATAGATATTACCTTTAGCATAATTAATTCTGAAAGCGAAACTATTCTAAAAAAAATGATGCTTGCTATCAAATGGGAAATTCGCACAAATTTTCCTTTGCTTATTATAATCATCTTTCTTTTCACTGATACAGTAATGTACTATAAAAACATATATGTATAATAAAGTTATCAAAATTATTAAGTAAAAAGAATAAAATAATTATTTTCCTAACCATTAAAATTCATCAGTAAAGATATCAATGTACATAAATACCATTAAATTCATCAACAAAGATAGCAATGAAACGACGTTCTGCTATAGATTAATTGAGCAAGGAATTGGTAGTGTATGGTGAATTGTATAGAATTGAAGTGATAGTTAGTGATTTTTGGAATTTGAATTGGAAGGAAAGATAACCACACACAAGTAATGATGTTAATCGGCTAAGAACTTAAATAAATCCCAGTTGATGAAAAAAATTTTCAGATGGTATTAAGCTTGTCGATATTATTATTACTGCTACTATCATTATTATTACTATTATTATACTCTCTGTATGTTTAAATTAGAATGTATTTTAATGCTTCTAAATTTACATACGGACAAGGCTATTTTTAAGAATTTATTCTAATACAGTAATACCGCTTACCTTCTGAATGAACTCCTCATTGGCAAAGGTGGCAAAGGAATTAAAAACAAAATTATTGTTAAGATTTATTAATATATCGAATATTTATAAACTTGTTATAGCAAAATCTGTTACAAGTTTAATATAGGTTATATGTAATTTTGAAAACTACTTTTAACTTTGCAAAACAGTATATTAATTTGTTTTTATATGCATAATATTGCCGCGTAATTGTTGCATTGACAATTATCCATATACAGACGGACTTTTTTGGTGAATAATATATCATCCTCGGACTGGATCTTACTAAAATGAGTTTTTGCTACGTACCTTGCATGATGCGAATGACTTAAATTGGTTGCGAAATTTTTTTATTCAAGACTTACTTATATGAAAATGTTGATTATTATTATCCATTCATAATTCAGTTGAGGAAGGCTTCATAAATTTAACACAACAAATTCATTTAGATGGAATAAAGTTGCATTCTTTTCTGGCGGTTAGGGTTTTTATTTATGAATATCATTAGGGGAGTTACACACTATTAAAACAGCAAAAAATCATGAGTTGATCACTTGATTTTAATAGTGTGTGACCCTTATGATGTGAATACAAACCCTACTGGTGGTATTTCTCTAAAAATTTTTTGATGTATATATATATAGATTACTTTTGAATATAAATTGGACCGGATAACTGCAAATTTAAATAAAACAACACAAAAAGGTTCACGGAAAATAAAATACAGAAAACGCAATAACAAAAAAATACTATACTAATATGGAAACCTTCTTCATTGGACAGCTAAATATAGTCAATAGAATAAACAATTGCATCATAATAATAATTTAAATTATATTTCCTAAAGGAGTTTGAAAAAATAAATCATTTTCACTCAAAATCATCTTGGGTTGTATATATAATAATAGTAATGATATGTTGCTTGAAATGGAAAAAACTATAACAAAATAGAAGAGTCGAATTGAATGCAACATAGTAATAAAAGTAGTTATTTTTTATTGTGTTGCTACTAGTGATGGGCAGTTAATAACCTATTTTAATAACTTAATATTTAAAAGGGTTATTAACCTATCTTTTAGTAAATTGTTTGTTTTGTTCTGCGCATTAAAAAAACCAACAAAATAAGTTGTTTGGAGAAGAGGCGAATTGAATTTGGAAAAATCAATTTGTTTGCCATTTTTCAATTAATATAAAAGGATAGCTATCATTTTACATCTTCGACATAACAATTAAAAAACTATTTAATAATAATAATAATAATAATAATAATAATAATAATATTTCGTATTAAATTTTCACGTGATATAATTAATAACCTGGCTGATAAACGTAGAGATTTTAGTTTCACAAAAAACCGAACCGAACCTAAACCAAAAACCCTACTTTTATATCAAATATACAAATTACAAATTTGCTCATTACACACTCCACCAAAAAAACATGGTAGAATCGAAGTTTTTTCAATCACATTTTCCAATGAAACTGTTTATAATCTTTTTTTTAATAAATTTTTCGACGATGACAACAAAGGTGGTGGCTACGCCAATCTCGACAGATGACAAGACTGATGTCGTTTTCGATTACACATCATCAATAGCTCTTTTGCTTCTCGCTTATTTCAGTATCAAAGGATCAGAGATTGATATTACAGAAATATGGTTCTACACAGGTCTCTCTTTTATTGTTATTTTCTTAAAAGCTGGCTTTTTTACTTGGTTTTGTATAAAAAAATACCGCGATACCAGTGACGATTTATTCATCAAGTATGTCTCCGTAATATTAGTAGTGGGGTTTATAACAATCTTATACACAAGTATTACAATCCACTTATCAATTTACACCATCGATCATCATTCTCACGAGGGGAATATAATGCATAACTTTTTGCTCCGAAATCCTAAATCGGTGTTCTGTGCAAGTCTTGTTCTAGCCTTTTTTCTTGATGCATCACAATTTATATTTTTTGGGATATATGTTTCTCGCGGTCATTATAAATCAAACAATTACTTATTCGTTGTTATACCGACTCTGTTAATGGTTCTTTGTGCCACTATAAAATGCATTTACGTTATTATTGTTATTGGTGAAAAACCAAAAAAAAGCAATGGAACAGGAAAAAAAGAAAATCAAATAGTAAAAAATATCATAAAGGGGCAGTTCTATCAGTCGTTGTTATTACTTGTATTTGTGGGCGATGTAATTACAATGCTGTTATTAAATCTTGAACCTATCTGGACAAAACTTTTTTTGACCATAAGTGCTGTGTCATTTGTCCTAGGAGGAATCGTCATTAATGCAGCAGAGAAATTGGCAGAAGAAAAGGCAGAAGAAGAAGCAAAGAGAAATTCAATTGCGGGTGGCTTACAATCATGAACTAGAGAAAGCCCTACTACAGTTTTGAGAGATAAATAAAAAATTGAATTATTTTAGTTTATTTTTAACAAATAGTAACTTTTATTCGAATAGAGACTTTAAAACAGTAAATAACAAGTAACACCAGTGACGAGGTCACTGTTATAAAGCATTCATCTAGTTTTAAATATTTACTTTTCATTTTATGTGCCTTTCTTTTTGTTATTAGTTTACATTTAATATTATCATAAATAAAAATATTATATTTTTTATAAGAGTACTAGAGTAAACTAATAGAAAAAATGAGATAACTTTGATTCTTAGAATATTTGAAATGATGAATATCAAAAAAAAAAAAACAAACAAACATTAAGTATTATGTGACTGTTTAAAAATTATTTATTCAATCATTAAATCGATTTCTAAAGAATTATCATAAAAATTTATTTGTCGAAACTCTGGCGACAATAAGTTTTTTCATCTCAAAAGTCTGTCATAATTGAAGAACAATTATTATTGATTTTCCACTTCTCAATTCGAAACTAGTACTTTTTTCCTTCTTTTTCATTATTTATTAAAATTTTAATCAAATTTGTAATTTTTTATTCATGGAGATTTTTAAAAATTTCATTCATCTTAATCAAATTGTCCATATATTTTCTTTCTGCTTTCTACAAATTAACAATCAAAATAATTCTATCGATAATTCTTCATTATTACATCTCATAAAATGAAAAAAATAAAACCGTGTTCGAATTGTCTTTAGTTCCTGAATTCGAAACACACATAAGTAATCAATATTGTCAAGTAGAGAAATTGTCACTAAATTTTGATGATTGAAGCTGTTTTTCAATTAATGAATTTTTTAAACATTATTATCTTGTTTGTATTTGTTAATCTTTTAATGTATTCTATTTTGATATTATTATTTTACATGTACTAGTATTAGTGTTGGTTTCCAAAACTAGAAAGTCGAAACTAGTTTTGACATATAACTTTTAATTTTAGTTTTGACTTTCTCAAATAGTTTTGGGCATTATAATTCAAATTTCGTGTATTTATTTTTACAATAACTTCTTGAATAATTACAGGTTTGACTTGAAAATAATCCCAACCCAAAAATATTAGTAAATACCCTCTCTATTCAATATTATCCTCATAAATTAGGGAATGCTTTAGTAACTTTGTCACTGGTGTTACTTGTTTTAAAGTTTCTATTCAAATAAAAGTTATTGTTTGAATTAATTTTGAGTATCCAAGTTACATGAATAGTTGGTTGTTTAAATTACAAATAATTACGATATGCATTATTTACAAATAGAAATTCTACAAAAAAAATTTCTGGCCTTCGGAAAAATTATTTTAATATTTTTTTGTTGTGATACTGAAGGTTTGCTATACCATGATTATAAAAGATTTGAAATTTTTTTTAGATGTTTTTGTTTGTTATTTTCTTTGATTTATAATTTTGTTATGTAGTAGCTCTTATTGAATATCAGTGTTGGTGTCCAAAACCGGTTGTGTTAGATTGAGTACTGTACACTTCGTGCAGTGAGTATAGTACGAACCATTTTTTGGCAATGGTATGTGGGATTTATAACTGTACTTACTGTACTCAATCTCTAATTGTTTATGTTCGTACTATACTCACTGCACGAAGTGCAGTACTCAACCTGCATATACCCATCCAAAACTATTTTGAAACTAAATCAAAAGTCAAAAGTCAAAACTAGCTTCGACTTGTGGCAAAAACCCTTTGACTTTCGCACAGTTGCGAAATTCTTTAATTTGGAAACCAACAATATTGCATATATATATATATATATATATATATATATATATAAACATAAATTTAATAAATACTGTATTTGAAATTTCAAGTAGATAGAGGTTTAAAGTATATACATTTAGAAATTGTTGATGTGTATGTTCGACATATAAATAAGGAATACAAATTTTTTGAAGTTAGTTCCGAATTTTTCTCCCCAAAAAAAGGTACCCAGCTCACCAACATAACCAAATTTTTACCAATGTCATTGTCTAAAGCAATTACAAGTAGATAAAAGATAGAAAGTTTCAATGAATTTTCTCATCATCCAAGCATAGTTTACACTTTCTATAACAAACCTTCCGTCCCTATATGTAATATTTCTGCTTTGTTCGGGTGAACTGTAGGCGAAGATTACATATGTTAATGTAAATTATTTGAAAACATTTCAGCAAGTATTTGCTTAGTTCAAAAATTCATTCCAAAAGCACTTGCAAATAAAAACTTTTCTGAATGAGTTTACCAAAGTTAAATAAAATTAATAAATGAATGATTGTATAAATATACATATTATTGATAATATAGTAATATTTTTCGAAATAAATGAAAGATTAAATAAATTGAAAAAAATACCAAGTTAGAATTTTCAATAGTGCAAAAAATTAAAAATGATGAATCAATTAAAGAGAGAGAGAAAGCCTTTACAGTCTAAAGAAAAAAATTTATTTGATTGAAATACAAGTGTTATTATTATACATTAAAATTGTCGGCTACAAATTTATCACGTGTTAAATGGCAATTTTTGCAAAAGCATCTTCATCATTTGTTCTTATCATCAGACTTATTATTTATCAATCACTTTAATGTTATTATATACCTGTATGTTACAACTTTTAATACTTGACAGGAAATTGGTTGGTAGAAGAGAAAGATGACAAGACTCCTTTAACTAGTAATTAGAACAAGAATTCAAAGAGAAATCCGCTCTTGATAGAACTTTGAGCACAAATGAGCCATTACGACTTGTAGCAAAAGAGTCTTTCTCTAATGCTGAACATTGATTAGTAACATCGAAACTATTCAAATACTGCTCAAAATCTCCTCATATTGATTTCCTTTTCTTATTATGATGGATCCACATTACAACCATGTAATGTATAACCAATAATCTTCTTTTTCGCTGATACAATAACATACAATAAAAACATATATGATGTATAATAAAACTATCAATACTATTAAACAAAAAAGAATAAAATAATTATTTTTCCTAGCCATTAAAATTCATCAGTGAGGATGGCGATGTACTGCTATAAATTTCATAATGAGGATAGCGACGTACTGCTGTAGATTAATTGAGCAAGGAAGTGGTAGTGTATAGTGAATTGTATAGAATTGAAGTGATAGTGATACTCGGAATTTGAATTGGAAGGGACGAAAACTGATAGTAAAACATAAAGTGGAAAGTTAAAGACACATATTTACCATGGACGCGACTCGCAAAAAAATTGAGGGTGGTAACACGAACTTTAATAAATTTTATTTTATTCAAGGTGGAGTAGATAAAATTTTTAAGTTCAACAATTAATTACATATGCGCTGATTTTTGTCTGAACCCCAAATTTAAGTATGGTATGATTATAACGTCATGAATACCTTATACTAGCAAAAATCCATTGGTTTTGAGGTAATGCCATTGGTTTTACTGGCTATTGAATATATATTAGTGTTGGTCGCCAAAACTATTTTGAAGAGATGAAAGTCAAAACTAAAATTAAAAGTTATATGTCAAAACTAAATCAAAAGTCAATAATCAAAAATCAAAACTGTGGCGAAATCTTTTGACTTTCGCACAGTTGCGAAACTCTCTAATTTTGGAAACCAACACTAATATATATATAGTAAAATAATTTTTTTGGCGGAGCAAATAAATATTTTTTTAGGGTCAATTATCATTCTACTGACCAGTTACACATGTAATCTCGTTAAGTCGGATGCAGAAACTAACTGTTTAAAATAAATAAATGATCAACCTATCGAGTTTACATGTCTGTAGGGTTTGAAAAAGGACCCAAAAAACCAAATGGTCGATATGATTATTTGGCCACTAAACAATAAACGTAATATTCTCCTTTTCTTCCATAATCTCGACAAAATTGACAGATGTCACCCCAAGAATAAAATAAACAGGTTATCTTAACAAATATTTCCCTGCCCCTTTCCATGTTTTTCCCTATTTAAAAATAAATTGTGGTGCTAATGCACCTAACTTCCAATAATGGATTAATTATTTGTAAAAATACAAAGTAAAAACACAGGAAACTTAATTCTTGTTCTAAAGCAAAAAGAAAGTTTGATATTTTCTATTGCCATTATCCTCCAACTCATCTAGTTGTACTGGAAATATTCTCTATGTTTAAATTAGAATGCGTTTTAATGCCTCTAAATTCACACACAAACAAGGATATTTTTATATAATTTAATCTAATACAATAATATCGTTTACCTTATGAATGAGCTCCTCATTGACAAAGACGATAAAGGAATTAAAAACAAAAATATATTGAATATTTATTTAACTGTTACATACTTGTTTATATGTAATTTGAGAAGTAATTTGAGGCTATTTTTAACTTTGTAAACAATATTAATTTTTTTATCGCATAATTGCTGCATAATTGATAATTATCATATATGGACAGATACTTTATTATTTTTTTTTTTGCGCATATTTGATATTGATATATAGTTTACTGCTGCATAATATTATCGTACCTGGATTGGATATTACTAAAACGAGTTTTTGGCTACGTACTTTTGCATGATGTAAATTGGTTGCTATTTAAAATTTCCTTAAATTCCATGTATAATGATTATTATTATTAAACATTATTTATCCATTCATCAAATCTATTTTATTCTACACAACGCATTCATTTAGATGGATTAAGATTGCATTCTTTTCTGGTGGTATTTCTTTAAAATTTTCTTGATGTATTGATTACTTTTGAATATAAATTGGGCTGAATAACTGCAGCTTTAAATAATATGGAACATATTAACATAGAAAACCAGTACGGTTTGCATGTAATTTTACTTTTTATAGAGAGGAAAACCTTCGTTGAAAACTAAATATAGTCTGATTCAACATCTATATGTGATTTAACTTAGGTTAAATATACAATAAATATTTAATAAAAGGTCAAACTTTTGATTGTACATCTTAACTTAATTATTGTTAAAAAATATAGTTCATTTTTTTTACGAGCGTCTTTTATATCAGATATACACATTAAAAATTTGCTCATTACACACTCCACCAAAAAAACATGGCACAATCGAAGTTTTTTCAATCACTTTTTCCTAAGGAACGGTTTATAATCTTTTTTTTAATAATTTTTTCAATGATGATAACAAAGGCAGTGGCTGCGCCAATCTCGACAGATGACAATACTGATGTCATTTTCGATTACACATCATCAATAGCTCTTTTGCTTCTCGCTTATTTCAGTATCAAAGAATCAGAGATTGATATTACAGAAATGTGGTTATATACAATTCTCTCTTTTAGTTTTATTTTCTTAAAAGCCGGCTTTTTTACCTGGTTTTGTATTAAAAAATACCACGATACTGGCGACCATTTATTCATCGTCTATGTCATCGTAATATTAGCAGTGGGGTTTGTTGCCGTCGTATACACAAGTATTACAATCCACTTATCAATTTACATCATCAATGAAGACAAAGGGCATTTGGGTGATAGAGTGCATGACTTTTCGCTCAGATATCCTAAAGCGGGGTTCTATATAAGCCTTATTCAAGTCTTTTTTCTTGATATATCACAATTTATATTTTTGGGGATATATGCTTCTCGCGGCTACTATGAATCTAACAGATACTTATTCATTGTTATACCGACTTTATTGATGGCTCTTTGTGCCACTACAAAATGCATTTACGTTATTTTTACTAGTGAAACATCGGGAAGAAAAAAAACAAGTGGAAGACAAATAGTAAAAAATATCGTAAAGGGGCAGTTCTATCAGTCGCTATTGTTAATGTTGTTTGCCGGTGATGTAATTGAAATGCTGTTATTAAATCTTGATCCTATATGGACAAAAGTTTATTTGACCATAGATGCTACATCATTTGTACTAGGAGGAATCGTGATTAATGCTGCAGAGAAAAAGGCAGAAGAAAAGGCAAAGAGAAATTCAGTTGTGGGTGGCCAACAACCACAAACTAGAGAAGGCCCTACTACAGTTTGAGAGATAAATAAAAAATTGAATTATTTAGTTTTTTTTTAAATATTTACTTTTAACTTGTATTTATTTTATTTCATGTACCTTTCTTTTTGTTATTAGTTTACATTTATTAATATCATAAATAAAAATATTATAATTTTTATAATGATATCTTATTTGCCAGCTCAGGATCTAAAGCTAAAACGACAATATCTAAATACTTACCTTTTAGCGCGATGAATTCTGAAAGCCAAACTATTCTAAAAAAATGGATGCTGTTATTAAATGGAAATCTCTTATAAAATTGTGACAATTAAAGAATATACTAATAGAAAAAAATGCGATGACTTTGATTCTCGGAATATTTGAAATGATGAATATCAAAAAAATATCAAACGTTAAGTATTCTGTGACTGTTTAAAAAAAATCATTCATTCAATAATTAACTTTTATTTCTAAATAATTGTCATAAAAAATTTATTTGCCGAAACTCTAGTGACTATAAGCTTTTTTCATCTTAAAAGTCTATCATAATTGAAGAACAATTATTATTAAATTTTAATTTAAAGTTTCACTTTTCTAATTAACTTAATTCGAAACTAGTACTTTTTTCCTATCCAAATTACTTCTACTTTCATTATTATTACTAAATTTTAATCACAATATACAGTAAATCGATCAAAATAGTGATTTTTTTTATTCATGGAAGTTTTTTAAAAATTTCATAGTTTCATCTTAATCAAATTGTCCATATATTTTCTTTCTACTTTCTACAAATTAACAATCAAAATATTTCTTATTAATATTTCTTCTTTATTATTACATCTCATAAAATGAAAAAAATAAAAACGCGTTCGAATTGTCTTTAGAAACACACATGAGTAGTCAATATTGTCACATAGAGGAATTATCACTAAATTTTGATGATTGAAGTTGTTTTTCAATTAATGAATTTTTTAAACATTCTTATCTTATTTGTATTTGTTAATCTTTTAATGTATTCTATTATTTTACGTAATATTAATACTAGTGTTGGTTTCCAAAACTAGAGGGTTATGCAACTGTACGAAAGTCAAAGGTTTCATCATAAGTCGAAACTTGACTTTTGGTTTAGTTTTGACATGTAACTTTTAATTTTAGTTTTGACTTTCGTCTCTCAAAATAGTTTTGGCAACCAACACTAACCGGTACTAATGAAACTTTTGACTTTAGTCATTAATGTGACGAAAGTACTGAATAAAGGTAGTTTCTTGAAAACAGAGTCAATCATTACTTAGAAAATGAAGATTATAATTTAGAAGATGGGAATAATGATGTTAACACAAATAATGATAATTGCAATTTAAACAATAAAAAGGCAGAAAAAGATACAATGAAGGAAAATGGTTCAATTACGGAAGAAACAAGGGTTTGGATGAAGGATTAAAAAAAGCCGACAAAAAAATTATAGTTTGAGAGCTAATTTGGATAAATATTTACTAAATAGAAAAATCGGATTACTTAGTTTTTTTTTTAAAATATTTACTTTTAATTTTGTTTATATTTCTTTTTGTTATTAGCTTATATTCACTATTATTAGAAATAATAGATATTACCTTTTAGCGTGATTAATTCTGAAAACAAACCTATTCTATCTACCAAATGGAAACTTTGTGATAATTAAATAATATGCTAAATTCTGCCTGAATTATCTTAAAACTAATCTAAAAAAATGACTCTGACCTTATAAAACTCGTGATAATTAAAGAATATGCTAAAGTAAATCCGCCTGAATTATCTTAAAACTAACAGAAAAAATTCGATGAATTTGATTATCAGAGTATTTGAAATGATGAAATTCTAAAACCTGAAAACCTACAAAAAAGACATAAATATAAATGATAAAATTTCACATACAGATTAAATGTAATTTTTCTACAAAATAGAATAACCTAATAAACGCCACCTTTTCACATTTCAAGATGACAAAGTCAAGGAACTTAATAATAATTTTGAAGATGACTGCTGAAAATAAAATCAATAACAATGTTGATGCAACTTCGAATAAGTTTTCTTTACCTTGTTAATAATGATCTTGAGCATGATGAATTTAACAGAACCTCTAATAGCACAAGATATGTTCTTTGTGATTATTCCATCAACTAAATGGAATAGATATAAAAGATATCAACAACAATGAAAAAACAACACTCACACAGTATTTCAATTCCAAAATAAACGTACATACTGCCAAGAATGCACGAGGTTCTTCACTCTTGGTTTTGATCCCAAGTTTAGCTTTTTAGGAGTTACTTTGTAAACATCAAAAACAAAAACAGACAGGGTCTCGAAGGAGCATGCAAATTTATGAAGGATTACAGTATTGATTTCGATCTGAACTAACAAAAAAAGGTAAGGTTTGATTTCACAATTATAAAATATTTGTGAAAATAGAATTATTTGAGAATATTTTTACAAATGTTAAAATTATTAAGTAAAAGAAGTCATTACTATTTATTGAAAAATGAGACGTACTGGGAAAAAAAGAAATACAGATTTTTTACAGACTATCTCGAAACTTAAAGGCAACAGTGAATTTAGAAAATGTGGCTCCATATTGGAAAAAAAATTAAATAATTGCTGATCAGTTGAGTGCTTTCCTACCCATTGTGATATGCTCTCCAACTAGAATTTTTTATTCGAAACATGCCTTTTTATGTTTTTATAGTCATGGAATAATTTTATATATTACATACTAATAATAATTTAATCCATCAGTTGCATGGCAGAGTTGTGGTACATGCTATTCAATAATAATGCAAGTAACAAACAATCATAAGATGTTAACGAAGACACATGGAAAGTAGAGTGTATTTCTCATGTATTATCACCCCTATTCCATAATATTTCATGTATTCACAGAATCTACGTATTTCGCCTTGATGCAGCAGCAGGAGGGTTAGTACATAAAGACCATCAAATTCTTAGATGTATTTTGCTACATTTATAATAAATCATTTATGATAATGGATCTTACAACAATAAGAAAAAAAATAGGTACAATAAACATAATTATTTTTTTCCAACATCAACAGGAACAACAATATTACATACTACCAAATGCATTATTGCAATATGAATTAACTCATGAGGATGCACAAGACAATTTTCTACTATCAACAAACCTTGTTTTGAAGTCCCATTATCACCTGAAATAACTCACCATAATTTGTTTAGTAGATGCCTCGGATGTTTTTATTTTGGACAATCTGGTTATTGGTGACCAATATTGTTAAAAATGCAATGATTCATCAATGAAGAGACAATTTGAAAAAGACAGTTATCTAATTTCTACAAGAAATGGCTCTAGCTATAGAGCTTTGCCTTCATTATCATTATCTCAATTCGGCATTACCTTAATGCAAATGGGTAGTAAATATTGCATAAATTTCTAAATAAAGTTATTATCATTCTTGTTTTTCTATAGTTTATTGGATAAAAAACAACGCCTATTCATAGATTTTATATCAGGACATTTGAATAGTAATATTAACTGAATTCAGAGAATTATTTAAAGGTTTATGTCAGATTTTTATGGAGACACGAAGCAAAGGGATTGTATGTGTTTACAGCTTCTTTTTGGGAAATGTCATAACAAATGATTTACAACAACATGAGGATTGATGATGCGTGTGTTATTTCTTACAAACTAGCAAGTGATGTTTTGACAAGTTGAAAACAAATTTGTCATCGAAAGTTGTGATTGATCAGAAATATCTGACCTCCTTGTTTGATTATTCCTATAAAGAAAATAAAGAACAGTTGTAAATTTATACAGCATTAATTCCTATAGTCGACTCCGTAAATAAAAATAAAAATAAAAATAAAATAAAAATTCGTAATAGTAATAGTAATTTGTAATTATAATAGTAGTGGAAATAATAATTCTCATAAAAATGATTCCATATTGTATTTTTTGGTGTTCGTTTTCCAGTTTGTCAGGTACAGCCTGAATACAATTTAGAATCAATTTCAGAACAGATAAAAATCCAATCATTGGCTATTGAAATCTACCAATTAAAATAAAATCAAGCCAAAACCGTGTAACCAACCAATATACTTGGGAAAACCATTTAATATCCTTATTAATAACTCGTCAACCAGGTTAATGCTATTTATTCATGCCAGGGATGATGATTTTATGCGATTTGCATAATCAAGTAAAATTGCCGAATAATTGTTGCATAAATCTGGAAAGACAGCACCTGTGACATTGCCTTTTTTATATTAATCGTCACAAGTTCATAGAAAATTGTTATTTGTCACGAACGCTATCTTGCCAGAAATTCGTGATAAACAACATCATATGTTATGTGAACCTTGAAAGCTGATTAGTATATCCTTTCTGTTTACATAATTATTATGAAGACTAATTAAAAATGTGACTTCTTTCAGTGAGTTCCCTTTTCAGGTTTAAATTTAATCCACTATTAGCCCGAATTATATATAGTGTTGCAGCTACCTAAATCATTGGTCGTTGATAAACATTTCCCATAAAAAAATCAAAGGATTTATAATTAATAATAATGATAATGATAAAATTTCAAATTTTTTTATAATTGTTGTATATACAAAATTGATATTTTTTGATGCATAATTTGTGCAAATTAAAAAAATTTATATGCATAATTAATAACGCAATAATTGATGGTTTATTGCCGCATAAAATCATCGCCATTGCTCCCCCGATAAACAATCAATGTATCACAAGAAACTGAACAGTTCTGCTAAAGATACTATTGATGCAATCAGGAGTTTCAAGCATTCAGGAAAACAACAATGAGAACCATGCTATCAATCTTTACGATCAACGTCACTGGTGATTTGTTGGAAATCTAATGCATAGATGAGGTTTTCTATAAAAACATACTATACCTCTTCATTTACAATCCATAAAACCGGTGCTTGTTTATGTTCAGGAGCTTACGTCGGTCTAGTTGAAAAAATCAATTTTAACTAACTAATTGAACTTAACATTTATTTGTTTATTGGCAAAATAACAAAATTTTTTTTGTTTCAAAAAAGAGTATGACCAAAATTTTTAGCATTAGCATTAGTTTTATGTAAAAATATTTATTCAAATGCTTAATGAGTGGTTTTGGAATTTTTAAAAAGAATCATGTAATGGTTTATATGCCTCAGTTCAAAAGGGTTTAATTAAAGGATGTGTTGTATAAATAATAATATAAATACAAACAAGCAATAAAAGTATGAATATAATACACTTAATATCACAATGATATATATTTACAATTACATTGTTGATATTAATGTATAATATTTTAATGAAGTTGTGTGTATAATTTTCAGGATTCTGTATACAAAGCTCTTTGACTCTATTATCAAAATCTTCTTGCCAGAAATCAATGCTGGTAGGTTCTGTTAAAATAATGCTGGGATGACTGAAAGAACTGCTGTCTTCATTTGTTGGTTGCGCATCATTTTCCTTGTTATCAACATTATCAACTATATTTGAACCTGAAATCATTCCAATAAGCATTTTTTCAACATATTGAATATCAGGCCTGCTTTTTGGGTCATCCTGCCAACATGCTAGATACAAGTAAATGATTAATAAAATTTTAATGCATATAAATATATAGTTTTTAAATATATATTATAGATTTTTTACCTTTGTATAAATTAAGATATTCATCAGGTGTATTAGGAATAGGTTCCTCACGAATTCCTCTAGAAATATCAACTATTAAACCATATTTTTGATAATGTGGATCCAGATTACTAAAAGGTGGTTTGTTACTAGTTAATTCCCATAATAAAACACCCACACTGTATACATCTGATTTTTTATCTGGCTTGCTATTAGACTTGAAACATTGTGGATCAATATAGGGCAGCACTCCTGTTAATTGGAATGCTGAAGTAGTTGTAGATTCATGTATTTTACGGGAAAGTCCAAAATCTGCCAATTTTATGGTTTTTTGATGAACCAAGATGTTGTTTGAATGCTTTTCAAAAAAAGATAAACATTATTAAATATAATTTTT